ACAGGCCTCCACCACCTCCCTCCACATCAGCCAGCACCAAACCCAAGCACAGTGGCATCAGCACCATAGTCTAGAGCAGCCTGGCCCTCCTGGGAACCAGAGCCTGAGGCACAGCTCCGAGGCACTCGCAGGAAGCAACAAACAGTACTGTCAGTTTTTACCTAGACAGACAATTAATCGAGTCGTGTGAGCTTTCAAGGCTTGCTGTTAACTAAATAAAATAATTCAAGTTAGTGCAATCAATACTTGTTTTACTTATCTGCTCCACAGATGCTTTGCCATCCGGTTAGTTCTGATTTCCAAACTGCCTTGAAAACACGCTGCCCAGGAGTGAAGCGACCTTTTACACCACATCCCTTGGCAATTTTAAAATGCATAATAAAAACCTAGTCTGTGAACACAAGGAGAGAAAGAAAGAAAAAAAAAAGTGATACAGAACCAAGTGTTGCATTCTTGCTCTTTTATTGTCAATGGGCAAAAAAACAATAAGTAGACCTGATATGGTTGATGAAAGTACGTAAGTAAACTTTATATAATATAAATATATACATATAAATATATATATATATATATACACTGTATAGTTAACATTTGTGCTTGGAAAGAAATTTTTTCAGTCCACCAAACTAGCAATATAGACTTTACAAGGATATTCCACTTACTTGATAGGACAGTATAATAGATGACCAGTATATGAAAGAGTAGACCAAAAACATGAAACGTTAGGAACAAATTTCCGACATTTCGGTATTTTCATGAAAAGTCCTCTGGACTTGCTCAGATTTCTAAGCAATCCTTACTAAATGTGCCAAGTAACATAGCATTAAATGTTGTAGTCAAATACTGCTTTGTATAAATCTTTATTTTATTAACACGATACTCTCATACGTAATCAGTATTATAACTGCTCTGCTATTTCAGGTAAGCAAACTCGTTAAGGCGCAGTAATTACGCAACGTAGCGACGTAGGATGGCCAGTCAAGCGTTGGTCACACAGATGCTTAGACACTTTAAAGGCTGTGATAACTGTGAATTTACATGACCCACGTTTCTTTTGTATGCATAGGATGTCACAGGGCCACGTGAAGAGCGAGGGCAGGTGCATGGACACACTGCAGAAACATTCATCTCAGACACCAAAGTGGCAGATTTCCATCTCTCTCAGCTACTTTGTTTCCCGTTTGCCATAACTTCTCATTTTTACCCCCAGCGAAGCTGAATTCTAGTCAGAGTGTTTCCAGGTGGAAGTGCTCTAAAACTTGAGGGTTTGTTTTAGAATTTAGTATAGTTTTATATATATATATCTATATCTATTAAAAAAAAAATTGTAATTCCATGTAGCCATGTGCTAGCAACAAAAGTGGCTTCACCATTTTTTACTCATCACATTTGTTAGTTTGAAATTTACCCCAGCACTCAGCAGGCTGAGTTTTATGCTCAAACCCTCACTTTCATAGTCCAGTTAGTTACTGCAAGACATCACATAAAAACAGGCTGTGCTGTTGTTGCTTGTGTGTTGTAAATCAAACCCATCTGCACATTTATATGCGGTTTTTCTCCTGAAATCCTGTACAAAGTCACACATGGCACCTACTTTGTAGTTTCAGCATTTTGAGCCACTCCAAGGACTTTACACCTAAACAGTAGAGACAAAGGAATCACAGCTGCAAAACTGCACCAGCCTAAAAGCAAACCTTGAAGAGGAAGAGCAAAACGTTCCAGTGTGAGATGGGTAAAAGTAATAATAGTAATAACAACCACCAGTCAATTTTCTGTTTAACAGTAGTAAAACTGCCAGGAATAAAATGGGGACATGAGACCAAGAGAGGGACTTTTCCTGTTGGCTTGCTCATGGCATCTCTAATGTTTGGGGGGAGGGGGGAGAGGTTGAGTGGGTTTTTTTCCCCTTTCATACCATTGAGATCACGATACCAGCAGAACTGCAAACTGAGCACTTTGTTAACCTCCACAGAGAGCAAATACAGCAATCTAGAGTTTAGCCTTTTGTTTAAAGCAGTCCACGTTTGTTTCCCACGTGTGCAATATGTTTTCCCCTTCTACTCCTTCTCCTCTAAATGATCTTCATGAAAAGAAACTGAGTAATTACATTGTTATTATTTCCAAGTATCACTCATTCTAAATTCTTACCCCAAGAGGGCTCCTATGGGTCCCCCGAGGCTCTGTTCCTTGCAGTTTAAAAAAAAATATATACTGTTCTTATAAGGGAAAGTAGAACTGTCTGCATGTCATCTAATGTTATTAGTGTGAGGCTACACTCTACATATTGTATATTTGCAAAATATATCAGTGTTACTGTTGATATTAGTTGAAGTAAAGTGATAACATATTTCAATATGTAGGCTTTTCTTCATACATCTGTACCAATAGTAGAGTCTAACTGTAATTTATAGGTTGTTCCAGAAAAGATAAAAGAACCATTCAGGTGCAAACATCTTTCAGAAACTGCATCTTTTAATTAAAACAGAGGTAAGAACTCTCCTCTTCACTGAGTGACGGAGTCTGTACTTGTTTCAGATGCAGAGTTATAGTGATGTCAGCAAAATGGCTTGTGTGTGGGACGTATGCAGAACATATGGTAGCAGTGGAGAGGAAAATCTGACTCTAGATGTGTCAGTTAACAATGAAGGTGGTAAATCCCCCAGACCTGCATTTGCTTTATGCTTTAAAACCCTTTTCATTCATTTAAGTTAGAGTCGATAGAAATATTCTAAACTTACCCAGGAAGCCACGTTTTAATGCTCAACCACTGATTTTTCCATGTGCAGTCAGTTAAATATTGGGGAGATGTCACAAACGTGCGTGCAAAAATCCACTTACACATGATTTCATGTGGGGCAGGAGCTGGTGCCTGCCCTCTGGGTGCATTCAAGTGCATGTGTAAAATCACAGCTCACCTTGAGGCTGGTTTAGAAAACTGGTCGTATAAGAGCACAGTATTTGTAAACTCTGTCCTTTCCACTCAATGAGGAGAAACAGTGGGCTTGATTTATTTTCCTTTTTTTAAATTATTTTTTAATTTAGACTGTGTGTTTGTATGTACTTCAACCAACCAAATGTGTCTTGGTGTCAGCATAAGTCTTAAGAACTTGGCTGCATGTTCAGGGTTCTATTATAACCCCTCTGACTCCGTTCTCGAATAACACTTGCTTAGAGCAGTGGGTCATGCCTAGAACAGGAAGGTGACAGTACTTGAACACTGCGTGTGGTTAAGAAAATGAATTCTTTCAGCCTGCAGGCAGGAGTAGAACTGAGAGGGGTTTTCTCAAATGCCAATTAAAAACTGGTACAGAGCTGCACGGAGTGACTGTGTTTCTCTTTTCCCATGAGTGACGTGGCAAAGGAATTAATGCTGATTTGAAAAAAAACCAAAACAAACAAATGGAAGGGAAATTTAAAGAGCAGAGGTGTGGCAACAGAAATCTTTTCTGGGACAACGATCAAATATATATTTGGGGGTTTTATTTTTTTAAGTTAAGAATGAAATGTAAAACAATGTACAAACAGAAAACAAAGTTCATCCTAATATAACGTGCGTCTTGTATTGCTAAAAAGAACAAGTCTGACATAACAGTGTAGAATGATTTTTCCCATCATGTACTGCATGCAGCAGAAGCCTCTTGTTTCTTGCTAAAATGAGCTGAGAGACAGTCAGCAGATATTTAAACACTGAATCTCTAGATGTTGACTTGCTGTTCCATATGAAGCTGTGTGTTTTCTGCAGCTGAGCATGCGTTTTGCTGTTCCCTTGTAAAATACCATCGCACTTCTTGCCTGCAAAATGGATTCTTGTGTATATAGTTAAAGTGGAACCAAGAACAAAGATTAAATTTGGGCAAGAGAAAAGGGGGTGTTGAAAATGGGACCAGTAGGGGGGATAGATATTTCTCTAAATTGTACATAGTATGTAAATTAGTATTACTATAAGTCTGCAGTCACTTTGAGGTTGCCTATCTCCTGTTAGGAACTTAAATCAGCTTTGAGTTGTATTAAACTGTTAGAATTAGGTCTTGAATGCAGACTGTTAAAGACTTCAAAAAAACCCATTATGCTTACAAGAAGCTTCTGTTCTGGGGAGGCTTGAGACCCCTTTTGTAACTACGGGGAAGAAAGGAGTGCTTTCATTTTAATATGCATTCTGTTTGTAAGTAGTAACAAACCCTATTGATGTAAAACTATAACTGTGATCATGTGGAGAAATCAAATAAATCATTTAAAGCTCTTTGTTTCTCATTTTGTGTAATCCAAGAACTTCAGTTCCTTCCAATGGTATCCTGGCCCTGCTGAATCCATGGGATTTCTGTTCCTCACTGCAAAGGGGCCAAGATTTCAGTCTGCATCTTGAATTAAAGATGAGTTGGTGGAAGTGGTGCTCAGTACTGTGGAGACTGTGACCCTTCTCAATAGGTTTAGGTTTGTTTGGAGGTGCTGTAAATATATTCAGTTCCAAAGTATGATAAAGAGCAATAAATAAACACCCAGATCTGCCATCAATGAGAGGTAACACTGAAGAGGTTTCTTTGGTGTGCTGTTTGTCAAGGCTTTCTAATGTTGAAAGAGAGTAACCAGATGTTGAATCCTTTTAACCATGAGCTGTCCAGCATCTTCAACTGATCCCACCAACCTTCTGGCTGTGACCTTGCCTGAGGAGCTGGTGTTCAGGTGACTCCCCGCCCTCCACTCCTGAGTGCTGTAAGTCTCTCCTTCCCAGGGATGCAGCCCTTCCTTTCCCAAGTGTCACCTACACTCCTGAGCCCCAGCTGGGAGAGTATTCCTTGCTTCTGGGCACTGCTGGCAGGGAACTATCATCATGCTGCAGTAAGTGATGGACCTGAGCAAGTATTATTCTCCTGTCACTACTTGTACCTGTGTTTGTTAGTTGTGTGTCTGAATTGATACCACAAAAGGATCACTACACAGACATACTTGCCTCAAGTGGTCTTCACAATATTTAATACTACACTGCTGCAATTATTGTAGATTATTACTTTAGACAGTAAACTGTGTTAACCTTCATTGTGTCTGTAAAGCCTTTTAAAACTGATTATTAGCTATC